GCAGGTGTCTAGCCCAAATCGTGCCCGAGTCGGACATGTGTTGAGCCCGACCCGCGCACCTAAAAATGCATTGATTTATGTGCAGTTTTCTGGGCAGTTCGCGCGAGTGTGTAACCACAGCAATATGGGTGTCTTTTCCAACTAAAATTGACGTTTCGGACGTGTCGGCGCGGTCAGTTTCGTCATCTGAGTTCGTTGTCAATTTAAGCCAAAATTGTGTGTGGTACAGAGAGTGCATGAATTGCGACGTTCACGAGTAATCGAGTCACAAAAGACTCACCTAAGACTGTTTGATCCTATAGGAACTCATTTTCAGACCCTCTACATGTTGGTCCTTAGCCCTTGCAACTAGAAGTTGAGTGCTTGGAACCACTCATGCAAGTTCTTCACAAAATGAGTCAAGAAGTGGTTTGAAGTTCTACGAGAGGTGGGCTCCATTGCTAGTCCGCTAGGATGGTCAACAAGGAACTCCTAAGGCTAGATTTTGGGCTCTGGGAGTAGGAGACTAAGACCTCACTAAAAATGAGGTCAACACTTGTTCACCCTGCAGACATCAGTTGTTGTCTCTTCTCTCTTCTAGAAATTAAATAAGCCAGTGTTTGTGCTTGTTATTGGTGTTTTACCCAAACTCACTGCTAGAAATGAGCTAAAAAGAATGCTTAGTGGTGACTGCGACTAATTCAATGAAATGCTCTAGAGAGAAATGCTCCTGGTTAATGATATTTTCGCTCGTCGCCATCCCTTGTCTAATTTAATTTAGCAATTTTTATTTCCTGGCTTTATTGCTCTGGATTCTTTTTAACTCTCTCTCCAGCTCTTCCAAAATTTCTACCTTTTCTCATCCAGGTGTGTTAACCCATCTTTCTTCTACTCCAAATCTACTTGTGGTGTACTTTCCCTTTTCAATTGCCCCTTTATTTTCTTTATCCCCCTCTTCTATGAGCTTTCCTTGTTGAATTCTTCTCGTGAACAACCATTTCTATCCATCAACCATCTATTACCTCACTTGATTAACTACATTTAATCCACCTGCCAACCAACTTTACCTTTTGTTGTTCTATGTTTGACTTGTAGTAATTTTAGGTTTGTGTGGGTTTGGATTGGCAAGCTCAAGTTGATATCTCAGCTTGTTAGGTAAAGGTTTGAAGTTTTGAGGTCAGCACCCTTGGTGTGCTTTGTAATGTTCTTATTTGTAATATACCATTCATTAAAAATAACCGTCACATAATCTTTGCTCTGCTAATCTTAGATCTTTTCCATTTGACACATATTCTGCATTATTTCTTTTTTCACATTTTTTTTAACAAAGGTCTCATTGATTAAATGTGCCATATGCAAAAGGCACACACTAAGATACTTGAGTATAATATCATTTAAATTTTTGTTATGTATATCTTGAATAACTTAAACTTTTAGAGGACATACTTTTTTCTTTAAGTGCAAAAATATTTCTAATTATACTTGATCACATGCATTCTTATGATCTATAAAACTAATATGAGTATACTTTCTCCTCGATCTATATTTTTCAGTAATTGCTTGAGCACAAAATTTATGTCAATTGTGGATCGTCATTAACAGAAAAAAAGCCAAATTGATTATTGAAAGCTGACATTATTTATCAAAGTCTTTATTCAGTTCTTTTTCCTTATATAACTTTATTATATAACTCATAAATTTGATTTTTTTTATAATCATCATAGTCCTTAACGTTTTCTTTATTCAGCTTCCTCTTACATCTAAAAATTTCATTAAAAATATTTGTTAACCAATAACATAGATAACTTTCCAAATCAAACTATGTATCTCATCTTGATCAAATGTTTTGCTTCCAGAGTTAAGTGAACTTTATTTATTTTATCAATTAATAGAACACCTCAATATTTTATATTTTACATTTATATAGCTATGCGAAGAGAAAAAGCTTCTGTTGTCAAATGACATGACAGATTTGTGCTTCAAATTTACTTCTTAGAAATGTCTATGCTTGCCTTAAGATCCTTCCCCTTGATTTGATTGATCAAATGGGTGACCTATGCAGAAGTTCTCAGGATCTTTTGTCTTCCTTATACTGTATCCAACTTGTTGGTGATGCGCTGAAGCTGGTAATTTGTAGGTTTTGAAGCTATTTTCTGGAAATATTCTTAATATTTTTGGGGAACTACTTCTTGATAATGATAAAAAACATTGATATTTTTGACATTCACATTAGTTTCTTTCTTCACCAGTGATAGTCTTACCTCTTAATTCTTATGGACTTTAGAATTGTGTTTTCATTGTTTTCTGCGTATCATTGTTTTGCTATGACAAATTTGGTGATTTCAATTACCATATCTTTAAAATTTAATTTACTGGCAGTTCAATTCTTGAATTTGGTTAAATTGTTTGTTAGGATAATTTGAAAACAACTTACAATGGTAGATATCTATTCAAAGTCTTCCCTTCATTAAATTTTTAGCAGATTAACTGTTTGAATTTATTTTGCAGGTTTCCTGTAGACGTGGGCCATATGACCTTCCGAGAATCAGGAAATAGGCGCGAAGCTTCTGCTCTTCAAGATGAGGTATATTACATATCAGCGGTTTATCATTGCATTTTGGTGACTGTTCTATTGCTTTATAATGCTAACATGGTTGTTTATTTGTGTTACTTTTTTAGTCACTTTGCAATAAGATAAAAGTACTTGAAGTACATAATTGTGATAATGTTATAGACATCTCTTGTTGATCTAATATTTGTTAATTTGCAGCTTGACATGCTACAAGAAGAGAATGAGAACATAATGGAAAAGGTACATTACTTCTATTTTCTAAAATTTGATGGATGATACATCTTATGAACTTCTAAAAATTTACTAACTCATGCTATCCAGCTCCGAATTGTTGAAGCGAAACGGGAAGAAGCTGAGGCTAGAGCGAGGGAGCTTGAAAAACAGGTTGTTTTCTTAAGTTTTGAACTGTATATTTTGTATGTTGTTTTTTTCCTTCACATTTTCTTAAGCGTTGAACTTGAATAAATCATTACTTTTGTAGCCACCAGTTGACAATAAAACTAGTAATTTGATTCTTTCCTTGATATTTTTGTTCTTAATGTGAGCAATCCGTGTTTATCTATGTTCACATTCTATGCTCACATGCATGTGCACCTTTATTGTTTCATTTTCACCCCTGCCTTTTCTGCTTTTGGTGTAGAAGTTAGTGTTGGATTAAAACACATTCAATTTAAGAAAGTTCTTATAATATCTGTGTAAGAAATCAATCAAAAAGTAGTTTCAAAGGTTGAGATTGCTAAACAGTTGTAGGAAATATCGGTGTAGGAAATATCGAAAACATATTTTTACTTTTTAATGTTAAATATAATATAAATTTTGTATATGCTTGATTGATGGTTAAACATATAACAACTCGAACTCTCGCCCATCAAGATATTGTCTACATTGTCCTAATGCCCTTACGATTTTGTCCCATTGGTACAACTTCCCAGTATGTCACCCATCCTAATTCTGCTCTTATATGAGCCCACTTAACTTTGGAGTTTTTGATGAAGTCCCAATCATTACACCAAAAGGCACCTCAATCTTTAAGAGTTCAACTTCATTTTACTTGAAAGATTTTACAATTTCTCACATATAAATAAGTGGCGTACTCATCAGTGGTCTTATACCAGAATCATTCATCAACATAGAGAATTATAGAGGTTATCCCCATAGATTCAAGAGATTTGTCTCACTATGTAACACTTTGTCCTATCTAAGGTTCAAGAGGTGGCTATCATGACATAGAATTTTGTTCTACGACACTTAGCTAGCTCTCAGCTTCAGGCCGGTGTAACGTGCAATACCCTTTGTCAGTTGTAACAACCTGAACTCTTGCCCATGTAGATATTGTCTACTTTGGCCTAATGGCTCCATAGTTTTGTCCCATTGATGTAACTTCTCGGGAGGTCTACCATCCCAAGAATGCTCTTATATGCACTTGACTTATTATTTCAAGTGCATCAACTATTGCCAATATTGCATAGAATCAATCAAATGAAGAAAGAGAGTGGCACATAAACTTTTTTATATGATAAACCCTTAGAGATAAAAACCACGGTGTCAACCTATTAAATTAATATCCACCACTCATAGAAAATCAGTGTCTTAGTTATATAGCTCTATGTAATTGGTGAGGGTTTAGGACAAGTTGCCCCTTGGGCAATTGAGAAAGGCGAAGTTGAGGATATTATGATAGGCCCACGCATGAGTTGGTTGTGAAAATTGCAGATGTACATAAGGACAAGGACTTTGGGTTGAGCAAAAGCTCATGAGCTCCACCCTTTAAAAGTCAAAAATGGATTAACCCTAATACGGATGAGCTTAGATGTGTTAACTCTAATGGGTTGAGAGCTATCCTAAAAACCTATTTATCATTTAAGAAACACAATGCACCCTTACAGCCTATTTATAAAGCTACACAAAATTAAACTTCAATTTTTTTGAGAAATAGTTTGGTAGATGGTCTTGCTTAATAAATCTCATGTTCTTATATTATAAATTAAATTATGTAAATATAGTTAATTATGAGTTTGCTTGAATCAAGTTTTTATTAGATATCATAAATTGAAAATAGTTCAAAATACCTTTCAAGCTCGATAATTTCATTTCACGCTTATTTAATATGTTTGACTTAATTTTAATTAATCTTAAATATTGATTGCATTTTTATATCTTTTTTTTTTTTTGAAAAGTACATTATGCTATACGGGTCTTATTTGGTAACTCGTCAAAGCTCATCATAAATTTATGCTAGCCAAAAATCAAAATGGATTTTATAGAGTTTAAATAAATGGCTTTAAATGGACTTGAATAACCCATTTGACATCTCTCAGCTATGTCATGACCAAATATTAGTGTAAATCTTACTGAAGATGACTATGGTCCAAATCTAACCAGTGAGATTTTAGCGTAGTCTCACTAGTTATTGCTTCGATATTTTGTTGTGATGAGTGTTTTGAAGGTGATGATTATGACATTTGTAAGGTTATGACGTAGATCCCGGTGAGAATGATTGCAATACAAGTGAGGTGGTTTATCTCTTGAAGGAACTGATCATAGCATAAGTGATGTCGCAACATAAGTTTGGAAGCCGACAGCTACAGTGAAAGCATGGTTATGGAATATCTATTAAAGGAAATGGTTACAGTGCAAGTGGGGCTACATTGCAGGTCTTAAGTTTGTGATGACTGTAATGCAAGCGAAGTTGAAGAGTTGGTCTTTAGGGAGGCGCCTACAATGCAAATGTGTTTGCAACTCAAGTTTTTTGGAAGGTGATTGTTGCATAAACAATGTCACTTTGCAGGACTTGAAGAAGGCTGCTTCAATGCAAGTGAGGTTATACAGATTTTAATATGATGATTACTACAAAAAGGTAAAATTGTGGTATTTTTTCTATAAAGATGACCATAGCACAAGCAAAGTTATGATACAAGTCTAAAGGAGGATGAATGCAACACAAATTAGAGTAAGATTGTTCTTTAGGGAGACAGTTGTGGTGCAGTGGAGTTTGCGGTATAGATTTATAGAGAACAACGAGTACAACTTAAGTGAGATAGTGGCATAGTTCTTGACCACTATGATACATGATAGGTTACCACACACGTCTTGAGGGAAATGATTTTGGTGCCAAAAAGGTTTTGGTATTGTATTGGAGGTGATAATTGCTACTAAAAAAGTGAGGTTACAGCGTCCTCTTGAAGGATATGGCTGCAATGCAAACAAGGATGCTGTATATATCTCGAGGAAGATGTTTGTGGCGTAAGTGGTGTTACGGTGTAGTTTTGTGCTTTCTAAATGGTTACCTTTTCGTTTTGATGATGATATCAAACAAATATTTTTTGTGTTATTAAGGAAATTACATTGAGTACAGCTTGAATTCAAGATCAATGAATTTATTGTCACAGGTTCATAACGAAGATAATCGGAGACTCTATCAAGTCATTTCAAGTAACCACACTTATGAAGCACAAAGAAAATATAATTTTTTTTTTAAATTTCGCTTCTTGTTTTGTAAAGTTTAGTTTCCTGTGAAAATACGTTGCAGATCTTATATTCTGTTATTTATGAAAATTTTAAAATTATTAATCATGTAATCAATTTTTAGGTTGCTGCTCTTGGAGAGGGCGTCTCACTGGAAGCCAGGCTATTGAGTAGGTAAGCATGGCTTTATCTTTATGTTCATCACAAACTATTCCTTACTTGATGTACTGACATTTGAAGCCTTTTTTATGCAGGAAGGAAGCAGCTCTGCAGAAAAGAGAGGTTTGGCTGAGCGATGTTTAAAGAATGGGACACTATATTTAGATTTTCTTATGTTATCTGTCTGAACAATGCATGTTTATCTTTTCCTAGCCATCATAAAATTAGGTAAAATTGTTTCTCATTATAGCTGTATCATTAAGTTACCTCTGATGGGAGACACTTGTAATAGGTATTCAAGAACTATTCATTTACTTTTTGATAGCAAAAGTAGGCTTGTTGGCTTCTCCATGGGTGGGTTGACTTTCTGAACCATTGTGATTGAGTTGGGGATGATGCGGTTATCCTTTCTAACAGGGAAAGTAAATATTATTACTCAAAAGCAAATAAACGGTTACAACTTACATGCTGAAAAGAGAATTACAACAATTACAACGCAAAAACTTACATTAGGGCGGATTTAAGTTGGTGGTGGTGGTTGTAAGTGTTGGTAGATGATTGGAATGGTTGGGTGGTGGTTGGAAGGCGGCGGTTGTAACAGAGAAGGGATTTTGGGTGGCTATTTTGAGGGTGGCAGCAAGCGTGGGATGGCTGGACAGTGATATGACATTAAGGGCAAGGGCATGTTGGGCTGCGACGGTGATGCCGGATGTCGGGACAGGGTTTGACCAGCAAAAAGAAGGATTGGCGGGCTGCTGCAACAAAGATGAGGGTCGTGGACAGAGAAACAGTGAAGCGGGTGGCTGGGATAGCGAGGAGCGGCGACGGTGAAAGGAGGTGTACTGCGGGACAGCTGAGGGGAGGGTTGTTTGCGGACTGTGGCAGCAAGGGGGGATGGGTGGAAAGGTTGCGGAGGAGTTGGGTAAGGATAAAAATCCCTGTGGGATCGAAATACAGTTGGAACACCACTTGATCCTTAGGGGAATGGTCAACATGTCGGAAGAGTTATAGCCGAAAAACTCTCTCATCTTCGGATACAACCCTCAGAAGGGAACACCTTAGAGGCCACAATATGAAATCAAAAACAATCAAAATCTGATTGCTAAGGAAACACGCAACACATATATGTATAAAAAGTCATAGGAATGGAAAGAAAATAAAAAGGAAAGGTAATATAATAGGAAAATGCTAGGATCGGAAAGGGAGGTGGGTAAGGAAAGTGATAGAAATGGCAAGGAATCAAATAAGAAAAATAAAGGTTTGTGATACTATAGCAACTACAGTCCCGCGACCTATGCTCCCACGTCAGTTTGGTTGAATCTTTGTGGGAACCTGAAGTGCGTGGAAGAAGATAGGAAGGAGAGCGAGAAGTGGAAGCAATGATGAATGGGGCCTTAGTTGTTGGGAAAGAGAAAGCTAACTGAAGATTGCATGCATGGCATCTCTGTTGTGGTAAAAGCTGGGTTGGTCGAACCATGAGAATTAATTGTATTGGAGAGTTTTCAGGGTTTAGGTTTTCTTCACGGAGATTTTGGTTTTAATCTTTATTCTTGGATTGGATTTTGTGTTTTAGATTATGATACTATTTAGCTTAATATGTAGCGTATACATCAGATCTGATTGGGTAGATTGCTCTGCCGTGCAGTAAGGAGATTGGATCCTTGTTTTGTTGTTAGTTAATTTGATCAAATTACATATATATCAAGTTGGAATTTTGATTGTGTTAGTTTTGTGAAACTATAATCGGTGCACCACTTGCAATTTTAGAGCTGTACGTCATGTTGGGGATTGTACTGTATGTTATGTTGGGGATTGCGCCAAACCCATGTAACCTAGGCTTACTATATGTAATATTAAAAATTTCATTTGCATATCTACCTTTTTGTGTTTATTAAATTGCTCTGCCCCTCTTGGATCCCCGTGTGCGTGGCATGAACGTTGCACACCGGTTTGACATAAATTATGCTAATTGATTGCCTTTTGGGCTTTAGGAGTTCATGGTTAATCTCCAGGTGAAGTCAACAATAGCATGGAAAGTAGAATGGCTGCTCCCAAGGAGACTTCTCTAGCCACATGTCATTGGCAGGGGTAGATCTTGCTTTGTGAAGAAAGGCGGAGAAGATCATATTCTATTATTTTCCAATTAATCAGATTACAACTCTTCTCCTTATATAATAAGGAACAACTAGGGCAAACTCAGGGTTCGTTTGTTTTAGTTGTTGTTGTGTAAAATCTCAGTTTAAAAAGTTGTGAAAAATCTGTTGTTTAAAAATTGGTGTTAAAAAAACTGTTGTTATGTTTGAAAAATTCTCTTTTGAAAGTATTGTGTTTGGATAAATATCTGAAATATCCTTCTGCTCATATTATATAACATTTATAATTTTTACAGATATATGTAATTTTTATTGTTATATGTAGATTCACAATTTTTATAGATATAATTGAGGTTACATATATAACAGAGAATTACAATATATCTCTATATATTTTAATATAATTTACTATATATCTTTGCATTGCAAAGAATTACGATAAATCACAGAAAAAGCAAATCACTTTTATATAATTAGAACATTACAGAGAAGGGTAAACTAGAAATAAAAACGAAACCATGAATGCACTCTCATTGCCTCGTTCCCTTTTTTATTCAAAATGAAAAACGGGTTTGAAATGGGAGTGGCGAAATGCTCCTTCCAAACACTCCAAAATTCGGTTTTGAACCGACCGTGGGCTAAAAAACTGATACAAATGAAGCCTTAATTACAATCATTACAACTTACCAAAGATAAAATAACTCAAAAAAGAAAGAAATGTGACCTAATAAAAAAAGAATAAAAAAGAATAACACTAATATAGGAAATATATAATTCTACACTCCCCCTCAACTTGGGTCATAGATGTTGTAAAGGCCCAACTTGATATTCAAATTAGTGAAGCTGTGTGGAGGTAGAGATTCAGTGAAAGCATCAACAAATTTAAGATAAGTCGGAATTTAGATTAATTAAATAATGCCTCCATTGAACTTTTCAAAGATAAAATGTTCATCAGTCTCTACATTTGGTCCAGTCATGATGCACATGATTATTTGCAATACTAATGATGGCTTGACTAACACATAACATCTTTATGGGATTGATCGTGGAGTATCCCAACTCAGTAATCTTTGGATCCACATTCTTTCACAAATTCTGAAAAGTGTCTGTTGACCTCATTTTTAGTGAGGTCTAGTCTTCCGCTTAGGGTTGAGGATCTAGCCTTAGGGATCTCCCTTCGACTATCTTAGAACCTTAGAAATGGGACCCGCCTCATTTTAAAAAAAATTCAACCCGCTTCTGTATTCTTTTGTGGTTTCGCGTATGTGGTATCGACTTCTAACACTTAGAAGGATGAAACCAACATGAGGAACCCAAAAGGGATCCCTATAGCATCTTTTGAGCCTTAGGGCGGCCTTCCGCACAATTCGCACTCCCGCACAATTCGCACTCCCGCACGCATAAACTTCGCAATTCGGAGAGTCAACGCGTTTGATCGCCACGATTCACATCGCTTGCACTGTTATTCGTCGAGGGTTCGAGTAAACCTTTTGAGACGATCGACCGCGGATCGAAATTTTGTGAAATTTGAATTTCGACGCGTTTTTGACCCGATTGTCGACGACGTCGTCCGAGCGACCCCGG